CAATTTCCCCTCCCCTGCCCTCCCCTTCTCCCTTCCCCCTTCCCCCTCTTCCCTTCCCTTTCCCCCTTCCCTCCTCCCTTCCCTCTCTCCCCTTCCCCTTTTTCCCCCCTTCCTCTTTTTCCACTTCCCCTTTTCCCCTTTCCCCTTTTTTCCCCTTTTCCCCCTTCTCCCTCTTTTCCCCTTCCCCCCCTTTTCCCCTTCTCTCTCTTTTCCCCTTCCCCCCTTTCCTTCTTCTTTCCCTTCCTTTATCTTTCCCTTCCCTTTCCCACTCATTCCACCCCATCTCATCCCACCGTTTGGAGAAAGATTCTTCCACACATGCCCACAAAGAGGACAACCCTCTTACAAACCCCACTGCAATCGATTCCACTTGTCCAGCATGTCTCTCACCCCACGTCACCACTTCCAGGGGCAAACCAAAACCTGAGGACACGGTGCAGGCAGGTGCCAGGGGTTGATGTTGCTCCAGCTTTCCCTGCTGGGATGGGACCAGGCAGGTCCCACCTCTTTTAACCAGGGGATGCTGGAGGCACTTGTGGCACCATCTTTTCTGTCCCCAGCAGCCTCCACCCCTGCCCAGCTCACCCAGATGAGCTCAGTGAAGCTCTGAGGAGCTCAGGAGTGGGGCAGCTTCAGGTTCTTGCTGCCAAACTCTCAGCAGAGTGATGGAAGAACAATCTGTGGTACAAGAGGCTGCCACAGAGGCTTGTTCTTCGGGTGTGTTTGCAGAGGAACCACTTGTGCTGGGAGCCTGACTGGGCTTCAGCATCAACATTTGCTCCCACACCTTCACCTCCCACCGAAAAGCCTGATGGGAAGTGGAGTGGTGAGAGGACAACTGCCTGAGATGTATTTCTAGCCAGGAAAAGAGAAAAAGAGCAAAGGTTGTGATTAGAACAGAAGGAGGTCAGGTTGGATGGGGCTCTGAGCAACCTGCTCTAGTGGGAGGTGTCCCTGCCCATGGCAGAGGGGTTGGAGCTAGATGACCTTTAAGGTCCCTTCTGACCCACCCTATCTGTGATTCTGTGAGGACTGGCAGGGCAGAGAGAAGGGGCTGGACAGTCCTCCTGGCTTTGCCCACCTCAGCTCTGGGTAGAAGGAAGGGCACGCTGCAGGGGCAGGGGGGCTGGTGGGCTCCATCCTTGCAGGGGCTGGAGGAGGGAACAGGAATTAGGATGCACAAAGGAAGAATAGGTGGCTGGGGCACCGTCCTGCTGCTTTCTGCCCCAGGGGTCCCCAGGCATGGGCTGTGAGTTGTGTGAATTATCCCAAGGCAGTATCTCGAGCATCCTGCAGCTCAGCATTGCCCCATCCTTGCTGCTCCACCAGGGCAGCTGATGGAGATGGATTGAGGGAGAGCACAGATCCAGGACCATGCCTGGATCACCACCTCCTCCCCCAGACTGGGGATGGGCAGGATTTTTTGGTTCAGCTCCTGATGGAGACATCTCCAAAAGCTTTTCAGTTTCTGTGCCCCTACAAAGCAAAGCTGACCACAAAGCTAAAGCAAAAGGAGAGCTGAGTTTGCAGAGAGCCTGAAACCCCTGCTCCAAAAGGGATGAAGCAGTTGGTCACCTCAGTGAGATGTGAGCTGGAATTTCCCCCAGTGATGATGGCAAGCTGTTCCTCCTGCCCTGCAAGAAAGAAGAGGAACAGCACTAGTGCTTCCCAGAAAGATAAATATCTCCTCTGGTTCTGCACTAAAAGCCACCTTGGTCAGCACTGGTGCCTCTTCCTGCCAAAGAGGAGGTTGGGGTTTTATTGGTGACTGAGGTGTCCTCATATTTTGGTTAGCTTAGCTATAAAAGATGCTTGGTTTGCCCAAGATGGAGCACTATTAAAATGTAGGCTGCTGCTATTGATTATCAATGCAGAGTGCTTTCTAAAAGCCTCTTGATTGAAGCTGGTAGAACTAATCTGGTCTGATAGGAGATTTGATTGATTTCCTTTTCAAATCAAAAAAAAAGAAAAATGCTGGAAACATCCCACTTTTCCTTACATTTTTCTTATATAAAGCCTGTTAATGTTATAGATTCTTTCATTGCACAAACGAAAAACAAAACAACAACTGAAAAAAAAAAAAACCAAAACCTTTCAGCTGTTCAGCTGTTGATGAAGCTCTCCATAAAAATGTCATGCAGCTGACAAAATCATTTCCCCACACCACAAGTATCACTTCAGGCTTTCCTAGTGGAGAAAAACATCTCCCAGGCAGACCTGGGGATCTCCCATCTCCCTGGCAAGGATTTTCTACCCAGAATCAAGTGATAAGCTCCAAATTGGCATCACCCTCAGTTAAAAGGATGCCCCCTGAAAGAGTCGGTGGGATGAAACTCCAGCATTTTGCTGGGCTGCTTTTCCTGTGCCCTTCATCTGCACATATCCCAGGCCAGGAAGGTCCCTGTGTTGTCCATTGTCCCTGCATCCCTGGGATGCTCCCAACAACCCTGGCTGAGGAAGCCACAGGTCACCACAGCTTCCAGCTGCCCTTTGCATCCTCCACCCAGAGCTTCCTTCTCCTCAGGGATGGGGCAGGCTCAGCACCAGCTTGGGAGTCAGGTGTGGAGCTTAAATTTGCCCCAGAGGAGGTTTTGGTCATGGGATGGGGATTAAACCCTGGGGAACAGGAAACCCCATTTCTGGACTCGTTTATCAGCCAGCCTGTGAGAGTGGAGATTTGTCCTTTCCCAGTTCACCAGCTGCAGAATGAAGATAGGGACACCTCAGAGAGGTTTTGGGTTTCTTTATTATTTAATCCCTGATGTAAAGATCCAACAATTACCCTTGAGTGTGGAATAAACACACTGAATTGGCTCATTTTGGGGGGATGTCCTCTGAAACCACCCAGACTGCTGGCAAATCACTGCTGCTACCTCTAAACGTGATTCCCACCAAGCCCCACACCCCAAAAGGAAAAGAATCAAAGCAGGAGAATTGGATTTGAATTTCACTGCCTGCCTGGGCAACCTCGCCTCCCGCCCTGCTGGAAACGTTGGCCTATTTTGAGGTCTTCCTACTCTCCTCAGAATGATGAGCAAAAAAAAAAGCCTCCCAACAGCCCCGTTTCCTCCAGCAGCCACTGCACGAGGCGCCCGCAGATGGAACGTGGCAGCTTTGGCTGCTTTTTACATCTTCTCCCTGTGCTTTTTTTGCTGGGCTAGGGTGGAAATTCCTTGAAGTTTCAGCAAATCCCGAGTGGATCAGCTTCTAAGGAACAACCTGGTAGTGGCATCATAAAGTCCATCCCACAACGCAGCAGCTATTCGTTTGCAAAGGTCTTGCCTTGGATATAGAGAGGAGTGATTTGTTTTTTGGGTGTTGAATTCAGCTACAGGGATATTTAGCAGCATCCTCCCCTACCTGGCTCCCACCCATCATCTCCCTGAGGCTCGATCTTCCAGCCAAGCTCATCACTTCTCACTGTGCTCAGCCCGGGTAGGAAGGAGGAGATGGGATGTTTTGGAAGAACAGCACCAAATCCAGCCCTGCTGTCCACCTCCATCTCACCAGGTCTCCTCCATAGGCATTGAGGAGCACTCCAGCAACACAGAAGATCATGGAGAGGTTTCCTTCATCTTTGTGACTAAGGCCAGCTGATGAAAATAGGGGAAAACAGGAGAAGAAATCAGTGAATCAATTCAAATTCATTTATCAGGGAGCCAGGGGAGAATACTTTGGGCTTGGAATTTATTTAGTAGTCAGGAGGAGAGGGGGAATTGGAATTTTTTAATTTTTATTTCCAGCTTCCAATCTCAGGCCATGATCTGGAAAAGGGAAATAATCAGGGGGGGAATAAATCTCCCAAAACCTACAATAAGACTGCATGCCAGAAAAAAAAATCGTGCTATAAGAGGGGTAAAATTCTTTGCAGAAATCTTCCTTTCTGGCAGAAAAGCCCATTCTTCCCTTGAGCAGCTTTCAGCAAAAGCCATCAGCTTGTTTTCAGCTCCTGCTGCTCCCACGGCCCCTCTGGATGGACACAATTCACCCAAGGGCAGTTAAGGGGTGATGTGATGCTGCCTAAAAAATGCCTAAAAATTCCTGGCAGCAGGAAAGTTTGGGTCCAAAAGGCTGGAAGAGAAGAAACCCCCATGACTAGCTAGAGGCTGAGACTGAACCTCAGGCAGAGGTGTTCCAGGGGGACCGTTGGCTGAGAGGGGCCAACTCCCCACAGATTTAATCTCCTCGCCTCTCCTCTCATTTCACCCTCAAGGGAGGATTGGCCACCAACATTTTGGGACTTATGGGCCCTGCAAAGGAGCAGCAGACTGCTCCAGCTCTTTATCTCCCTCCTGTCTCAGTTTCCAGAGGTCCTCTCCAGCAGATGTTGAAGGAACCTGTAGGTTTGTCCTGATACTGCAGCCTGGCTGGAAAGGGGGGTGGTGGGGTGTGCTGCAGAGTGCAGAACAGAAAAAGAAGAGAAAGAAGTCAAGAGCTCTCATCTTCCACCACAATCCATCACCCAATCACCAGCTTTGCCTTCTGTGCCCATCCATCCATCCTTAAGTCTTCCCAAAGGTGAGGTTGCTCCTTGCTCACACCCTCATCCCAGGGGCACCTCACCTGGAGGTTGTATTCCTTCTGGAGTCAGTCCTGATGTCTCCTGGTGCAAGGATTACCCTGTGGATGACCCACTCAGCCCTGGGTGGCCAACAGGCTGGAGTGAGTCGCACGCCATGGGTGGCAGTTTTTGCATCTTCTCTGTACAAGCTGGTTCTGGTAAAAACTGAGCTTTTTCCAACCATTTTTATTCCCTAGGAAACCACGAGGAGCTCAGACAGCGCTCAGCAGTGAAATGACATCTCCTGTCACGACTGGGGTGGTTGCAAGCCAGCAGTGGGGACTCTTTGAGGGAGGATTTAGGCATTTTAGGCAAGACAGCTGAAGGGGTGTGAAGCGCATTCTGCAGCCACCAAATTCACCTCTTGTCCCCCCTCCAGGGCCAAGCTTCTCCAGGGATGGAGCCTTAGCAGCTGATGTGGAACGAAACCCACCCAACGGCTCTCCCACCTCCCATCCCTTTCCAACCCTTCTGTTTTCTCTTTCCCAGGTACCTGGGGATCACTCGGCCGCTGACGTACCCCGTGAGGCAGAACGGGAAGCTGATGGCCAAGATGGTCTTCATCGTGTGGCTCCTCTCCGCCTCCATCACCCTCCCTCCTCTTTTCGGCTGGGCCAAGAACGTGACGGTGGAAAGAGTCTGCCTCATCAGCCAGGACTTCGGGTACACGGTGTACTCCACGGGGGTGGCCTTCTACATCCCCATGGCCGTCATGCTGGTCATGTACAGCCGCATCTACAAGGCGGCCAAGGCCAGCGCCGAGAAGCACCGCTTCATGAACTTCCCCAAGCACCACGAAGAGGAAGGGGTCTACTGCCTGGAGACCTCCAACCGGGGCCACCCCGGCTCCCGGCGCGCCAAGGCGGCCGAGGAATGCGCCACCCTCTCCAAACTCCTCCGGCAAGACCGCAAGAACATTTCCATCTTCAAACGGGAGCAGAAGGCGGCCAGGACCCTCGGCATCATCCTGGGGGCCTTCACTTTTTGTTGGCTTCCCTTCTTCTTGATGTCCACGGCTCGGCCTTTCATCTGCGGCATCCGCTGCAGCTGCATGCCCCTGAGGCTGGAGAGGACCCTGCTCTGGCTGGGCTACACCAACTCCCTCATCAACCCTTTGATTTATGCTTTCTTTAACCGAGACTTGAGGACTACTTTTTGGAACCTCTTGAGGTGCAGGTACAGGAACATCAACAGGAGGCTCTCCGCCGCCAGCATGCACGAGGCCCTGAAAGCCACAGAGAGGCACGAGTGCATCCTCTAGACACGTCTCCTCTCGCTCAGTGCCTGACCAATGAACTCCTGCCTCTCCATTTCAGGTTCCTTTCTCCTCTTGCCTCTCCAGGCTGGCAGGAACCGTGCGTGCCGTTGTCCCACCCTCACCAGACAAGACCACGGGGAGAGTGACGCCCCTTCCCCTCGCCCTGGGAGCAAGTGGGCAGCTCAACCTTCTCACCGTGTCCCTAGATGGGAGCTGAAAAGCTGTGAGCAAGACTCTGGAGAGGGGGTTCAAGGTCTACCACCAACTGTGGGCAAGTCACACCACCTTTCTGTGCCTCAGTTTCCCCATCTGTTTAAAAAAACACACAAAAAAAATGAAAAGAAACGAAACCCTCCCAACCAAACAAAAAAAAAACCCATAACACAAACTTGGTAAGACTGTGTCTCTCTACCTTCAAAAAGGGCTCTAAGTTCTGTGGAGGGCACACGATGGACTCTGTAAAGATGCCATTGGCTGCACTTTTCTGTGGAACACGACAGCAGCTCTAGGCTCCGCTGTAGCTCCCAGCACTCACACCATCTCAGCTTCTCCAGACTCTTTCCACCCCTGTAATTGCATTTTCCACACCCAGGTCTGCACGGCAGAGCAGTGATGCCAATGACCCCATTTCCCCCCAGCACTGTGGCACTTGAAAGAGGCACGTCTGCAGGAGGAAACCCAAACAAACCTGCAGTTGGGTAGGAAAGTCCAACGAGCTCCTCGTCGGGGCAAGGACAGCTCTGTTTATTGGGTTGGACTGTGATTCTCAGACAAGTGGTGATGTGTGCTCATCATTTGTGGCTGATGGACTCCATAAAAGCACGCTGTGGTTGACAACAGAAGAAAACCCCCAATATATCATGTCTCTGACAGCTTTACAGTGCTTCAGTATGATGTCCAGCAAGCTTGAAAAAAATACACTAAACGATGTGTAACCTAAATGATTTTTTTTTAAAAAAAGAAAAGTCTGGTTTGCTTATTTTGGTGTAGACTCTTCAGTCACTTTGATTTTAATGCACCTCGTTACTGTCTTCACTTTTACATTGTGGTGGGTGGTGTCTTCCTGCAGTCCCCTTTGCTCCTGGCCAACCTTGCTACGTCAACCTCCCTTTGCAGCCCCACAGACCCTTGCCTGGTTGTAGATGATGTCTGCTCCATGGGGTCCAGCTGGCTGGAGGTCTCCTATCTGGGTTTTCTTGTCAAAGCCAGACTCTTCAGAGGCTCAGGGAAGGGCTTTCTAGCCCCTCCACTCCAGATTTTCTTTATCAAGGAGGTGTCTGTGAGTGGTTGTAGTCCCATCTCTTGCAACATCATGCAGTATGACACCTCCATGCATAGTTAAATTGGGGGGTTTGGCTGACTGCTGGCATGGTTTGGCTTAATAATCAAGATTACTCCTGTGAAATCTTTTCTAGTCTCAAATTCTTCCCTTTTTCATAGATATTTCTACCCTTTTTCTATTTCTTGCTTTTTCTAGAGATGCCCAACAAGGTCTCCAGTTTAGATTGGTGATTCATAACAGTGAAACTGGCTTAAGCCTACTGGGAATGTCCCAAGGTTGGGGCACAGGAACACGTGTCCAGATGTTCTCCAAGCTCATGTCCTCCTGGCTAGAGCCAGAATTGCAGCTAGGAGTGGAGGAGACTGTTGTAGCTGTTGTACTGGTCTCCAGTGGGAAATGCTTAAAGATCAGACAGAGATTTGAAGGAAAACATAGTGAGGAGAGACACTAAAGGTTTCACTGCCCAGAAATCTTCAGTGGTGTCCCTGGAGTGCCCTGTGGTCTTCCATCCTGCAAACCAGGGACCTCCACCAACACAACGAGGCAGCAGAAGGCAGGAGCATCCCCTCACTCTCTTGCTTTCACACAGCTGCCACATGAAGTGGTGCTAAACCTTGCCACAACCTCTCTCCTGCCCCTTGATGGTGTTGGTGCACTTGCTACACATCGACCTTCCACGACTTGGTTGCATCTTCTCAGGGTGCTCCTGCTTCCAAGCCCACACAATAAGCCCCCACCCCTCAACACATCTCTAGGGCACGGTTTGACTGCCCATCTCAGGACCTGCTTCACAAAAACAACCCCTTTCCTCCCAGAAAACACTTTGGGCCATCATCTCCTCTGTCACAACGTTTTAGCAGCAGCTGGTGGCTGGCTCTGGCCTTCCATGGGGACTTGAAGCTCCTGCAGGGTTTGATTTCCTCCCTGGGCTCCCCCAGCTCCTTCTCTGTCACAGAGAGGAGGGTGCCCTTTTGACAGAGCTGTCTACATCAAAACTAACCAGCTGCTAATTCAGGCTGTCTCACCAGGACGTGAGAGCCCCAAGACAGCCCATCTCATACTCAGCACGTACCCAGAGTCTGGTTTGTTCTGCTGCATTTTCCTTATATGCCTGAGGTCATAGAGCCATGGTTTTAGTTATTTTCTGTATTAAGGGTACTTAAACTGCCTTCAAAATTCATAACCTTGTATAATTCCACTTAACATCCATTTCTGATGGTATTTCTAGCACCATTTCTGCAGAACAGCTGTGAAATAGTGTTGGAGCCTTTTAAATGAAGTCAAATGAACACTGTTTTCCTGGTATGATGGTTCTTCCAGAATAGGGGAAAGAATATGATTCTGGATGATCTAAGCCCCAAACTTCTAAGCAAGGAATCAAGGAAAATGGTTCATCTTAAGAATCAATATGTTCTTTGACTTAGAATTGAATGTTCTCCTTCTTGTGAGGGGGTCAGAGCCTGGAGCAGCTGCCCAGAGAGGCTGTGGAGTCTCCTGCTCTGGAGAGATCCCAAACCCTCCTGGCTGTGACCCTGGGCACCCTGCTGGGGGTGAGCTGCTGGAGCAGGGGGTGGGATGAGATGATCTCCAGAGGTCCCTTCCAGCCCCACCCTGCTGGGATTCTGTTTCACTCCAGGCTTATCTGATCTATTTTTTTCCTTCTATTTTCATTTTAACCTGGAGTTGTGTTTAAAAGAAGAGCTTTGTTCCTAGAAACAATTCCCAACGTTTGCACCCAAAACTATTTAAACATGATAGCCTAAAAGAAAACATTTTCCTCAAAAAAATAATGAGATAGCTTGCATGATTTTTCCAGTATTGTCTCAAGCTGTGAGGCATCAGCTTAAACTCTTGCTCTTTAACTCTCTAAGATTAAATTGAGTCTAGGTTGAACCAAAGAATGTGCATCCAAAGGCACCAAGGCCTTTTCCACACACCAGTGAGCACCAGCCATTTAGTTAAGCCACTCAAGGTCCTTGTAGATGAGCCACTAAATCATGTTGAAAACACTCTGTGGGTCTGGGTAGGTTTTTTTTTTTTCAAAATTGGACAGGAATCGATGCAATCAGCACCTAAAAAAAAAAAAAAAGGGTGTTTTAAAATAAATTTGAGCCATTCTGGAACTGATTTTAGTGTCCACGCACTAAAAACTGGAAGATTGAAGAGAAATTAGCTCTGTAAGAGCCCATGTTTAGGCAAAAATCTGAGCTCGTAGAGACAAGTATCAATTTAGGAGGACAAGAGAAACTTTTGCAGGCAACGAATGTCCCACGAGGACAGCAGCAACATAGTGGAAAAGAATGAGGAGCCTCAGGCAGAGAAAATTGAAGTAATTCAGGCATAAAAAGAGTAGGTCTCAGGTCAGCTTTTACTTCCACTCCACGTGCAGAGGGAATACATCAACACAGGCAGAAGGGATCTGGGGAGAAAAGACAGTTCTGCCAAGCCCCCGAGCTGCCCCAGATGAGGTTGGGGAGTTTCTGGTCACCACGTGGAGCAAAGCCAGGGGAGATCAGCTGGAGAGGTACCAAGAAGCCCAAGGTGATAAGAACCCACGTGTCTCTTCCCAAAGAGAATGGAGCCTCCACTCATGGATGGGTTTGGCTGACAGAGTGCTGGAGATCTGCACAGCAAACCCACCACGTTCTCCATCTCCTGATGGCCATGTGGTCTCAAGGCCATTGCACCACATCACCCTGGGAGCTGTTCTAGCCCAGGATCCTACCTCAAGCAGAGACCAGTGGTGGATCCATACAGAGATAGGACTGCAAACCTGTTGTGGTGTCCCTCCTTAGCCCAGCATGAAAGGTTCAACAACGTGGTGTTTAATAACCTCCAGTGAGTGCTTGTCTTCTAACCTATTCATGTGTTCCCCACTCTGCCATCCTGAGGCAATGACTTCCACAGTTTAATTAATTTTAGGTAAAGAACTGCCCTTTCACTCATTTTGAACCCATTCACCCTCTCCAGGCCAGTTATGGTTCTGTAGACCTTTGCCATATTCTTCTGTTTGAAATCAAAAGTCTATCCAGAACGAGTTATTCCCTACAAGAAAGACACAGAGGTGCTGGAGCATGTCCAGTGAAGCTGGGGAAGGGTCTAGAGCCCAAGTGTGGGGAGGAGCAGCTGAGGGAGCTGGGGGTGCTGAGCCTGGAGCAAAGGA